ATTAAAAACTCAACAGACACGAAATGAAAGAGCTACTAAAGCCACATTAGTAGCATTGAATTAAATCTCCCGTTTGTTGCGCATCTCTGCGCAGTGCAGCGGATTTACTCATTGTGCAGGGCCGGTCCAAGGCTGCATGAGGCCTTGAGCAGACTTTAACTTAGGGGCCCCTCTAGCTGCTAAAATCATCAGCACCTCTAACAGCTTCTGTGTTAGATTTAGTGAAATATGGGAGAAGGGAGTAGTGTAGCTGGCCAGCCTAAAAAGCAATAAGTTATAATCGCAGTTTACTAAATTGGATTTGTAAATTCAAAGATTAAACTCACAGCATCAGATTGTTGCTATAGTAACAAAACATTCTAACTATGAATATTGTTCTTTGAAGTTTTACTAAGTAAACTTGCCAGCTCCTTAAAATCTTGTATTTAAATGTTAAACAATTTAAAATCTTTTAATTTATGTATGCTGAAATTGAATCAAGTTTAAAAGCATTGATAATCTCAATAAACAAGTGTTACATTTGTATCTGTGGTCTGTTTTAAAATATTAGTGTTTATGGGGCCCTTGAAGCCCTTGGGGGCCTTCTCCAAATTGTCCCTAGGTGTGAATGTGTGTGTGCATGGTTGTGTGTCCTGTCTGTCTCTGTGTTGCCCTGCGACAGACTGGCGACCTGTCCAGGGTGACCCCGCCTCTTGCCCGAAACGTTAGCTGGAGATAGGCACCAGCACCTCTCCTGACCCCACTGAGGGACAAGGGTGTAAAGAAAATGGATGGATGGATGGATATTTCCCCATAACATATAATTACACAGTAATACTTTTACATTTCCTGTCAACTTAACATCTTTTAATACAAAACCACGGTGGACCGCCTCGATGCCCCGACCACCGGGCTTAGCAAGTTTTCTGGGGGAAACGCTGTGCACTATATAGACCAAGAAAATCTGGACTAAATTACTCTAACCACTATAATGAGTTTTATCATTTCATGAGCTAGAGAAGGTACTAGACCTCTATAATACATTTACATTTGGGCCCTGAAGAGTAGACAGAAGGATGAAAATAATTGTTATGTTGTAAACTACTAAAACATCTAAAAGCTCTGACTTTACAAAGACAACTGACCCACATAAGCATAAGTTTTTGTATTCTTGATGAAGATTAATTAGTAGGAGTTTATTGAAACCAGAAAAGACTGCAGACCTTTTTCACATTAAGTTATACAATTACTTCAGCCTAAGAGACTGCAAAACTGCTGTTCAAAGTAAATCCTTTGTGAAGCAGGAGAGATGCAACAAGCTAAATATGGGATCATTCCTTGTGTCTGTTGTGTTTGTATTTACATTTTTTATGTATTTGATTTGTTCAAAACAGCATACTGTTGCTTCAGTTGTGAATAGCTGCAAGTAAAACAATACTTTGATATGTTTTATATGACTATAACAAATTAGTAGTGATTCATTCTGGGTGAGATGGTTGGATGATCAAGCAAAGCCTGTTTGAGGTCATTTTTGTAATGTAAAAATTGAATGTAAATAATCTTTGTATTGTTTAACCTATATCAAATAAAACACTTCACACATTTTTATTGAAATATGTTGCTACTCTGATTAATTATAATGAGTTTTAATGAGCCAGATATAATGACTGCTATTGTGTTGTCAGTTGTGTCACTTTGAGCCCACTTGCATCGCATTATGCACATTGATTAGACTCACATGGGAAACTAAGCTGGTTTTGCCATTACAGGTTGTAGTGAATCAACAAAAGTGGGTCCCATTCATGAAGCACGTTGTGACTTGTTGAAATTTACATTTCAACAAGTCACAACATGTAGCCCTTTACATGTTGGGCTAGGGGCTGCCAATGTTAAAGTATCTTTTTGCAGGAATAATGAGGAAAATAATGGGATTTATGTTGACAAACTTTCTTCCTGCTCTGTGACACATGTGAATGAGCTTCTAAAATAAACTTTAGCCTAAATTGCCTCTTGCACCAGGACCATCTGAGTGGAGAACCCCAATGAGCCTGCTGATTCCCAAAATTAAATGGCTGCTTTGTCTGCATTTAGTGTCAAAATATGTGAAATCCTCACCATGACTCCATTATTTTGGACTTTCGTTGAGCCAGTTTGTGACACAAATTCATTCTTGAAGTGCAGCTTTAGAAGCTGCAGAGATACATCTCAGTGAGTGATTTTATGTGAGTCATATGAGGAAATCAGAGTGTAAGAGGTGAAAATGATGTTACCGGATGCTATGTGACTACGTCTGTGAGCCTATGAGTAATAACAGGACTGAGAGTAGCGGTGTAAAGGAATCCAACAGTGATCAAGCATGACGGTGATAATGTGATTCACACCACAGGGAGACACTGAGACTCAACCTCTTACTAAACAGAAACAAAACATGTATCAGGCCTCCTTAATCCTTTCAGTTGCCCTTCCTGGTGCTTTTAACATCGAAGAAATAGAGAAATCTATAGATTTACTGCCTATCAAACAGACTTGATTAGAGCAAAAACAGGATCAGATTGTCTGAAATATCAACACTGAAATATATTGGAAGAGTTTTCTACCACAATGTATCGACTCATTCAAGACAATGAGGCTGACATTCGTTTTGTTGTGACTTCTGCTTGGCTTTTCTACAAACCCACATTCTGACATCCTCTCCCATGAAACAGCGGTTCCTCAGTAGCCCCGCCCACAGCTGAACGCCGACGATGCCAAAGATGAAGAAGACAAAAAAGCAGAGGGCCAACACATTGCCCAGCATTGGAAGTGTATCCAGGAGGAGGGTCACCAGGATGCGCATACCTAAAAAAACACACACAGCATCAACACCAAGGCAAGAAGACATCAGTTTGTTTCTATTTGCTAGGAAATGTCGTTATTCAGAATAGGAACAGTGTAATGTTCCCTCTCCCCCACCTATTGCTATTGTGTTGTCAGTCATGTGTCACTTTGACACAGATGTTAACATCAAGATGTTATCATTGCTGCCTGTGGGTAAAGGCAGCAATGTTTGTGAAAATAAAACTTACCTTAAGATTCATTTTGGTGTACAAAAATCAGAAAAGTTCAAGCATGATATACGTACTAATCATAAATGGTCTATGGTTGTTCCAACTGACACATACCATAATGAAAACATTAATTCTTTGTAATCACATCAGCTGTTTTAACTCTGTAACCATAGTCACTATCCTTAATAATGACTCTCTCCCGACCTTCAAATCACAACTCATATGTTCAAGTTAGCCTTCTCACTTGTTTTTAGTTATTTTGTGGCTTTGTATTTTGTAGCCTTTTTTAATTGTTTACTTATTTATTATTATTATTTGTACTGTTTAGTTAGTGTTTTTAATGTTGTAAAGTGTCCTTGAGTGTTTTGAAAGGTGCTGACAAATAAAATGCATTATTATTATCATGCAGGGTCATAGAAGGGGTGAGGAGAGCTCAGTGTGGTCTCACAAACCAGTCTGAGGCAGTTTAAGAAGACAGGGAAGATAGCTTAGTGGAATGCACCAGACAGCTGATAAACTTGGTCCCACGTCTTTGGGTGGAATATTTTGTGCAAAATAACACCTACATTGTCTCTAGGCAGCAAATCATCACACGCTGCCTGCGTGCAGCAGTAGCCCATCATCATGTGCTACTTGCACGCAGTAAGAGTCCACCTCCTGACAGTGAACTTCTGGATATCCCAGACAGAAAAGAATCGCCTGGACATAGCCAGGTACAAATATATGTGAGCTGCAACAGTTAGTCAAATCGCTGGGGTGAGACGCCTGTCCACACAGTGCTCTCCGAAGACACATCTCCGTGTTTTCCTAAAGATGATTACCGTAATGTATTTTGTTTTTTTGGTTTGTTTTGTGTGATTTTGGTCTGTGATGCTCATGTTGAGGTGTTGGTGTGATTTTATTGGTTTGGTTGATTGTGAAGTTGAACAGTGACTATTGTCTTTGTTTCACTTTTACACCTGGCATCTATGGACTTAGAGAGAGAAGTGCAACAAGCAACAGGTAGAAATACCTCTGAAATAGTTTTATAACCACTCCCCTTCAACAGAAATGTCGTCCTCGACATTTAATAATTAAGGAAGTAAAACAACAAACATAAAACCCAAATCTACTTAGTCCATACAAAGGCACAGAACATTTCTTGTATATTATGTATTTTAAAAAATTTGATGTAATTAATGAAATGCTGCTTTCAAATCTGGT